GCCCTGGAGGGATCATTTCTAGGGGTAAGAGACATATAGGGTCCCACTAGCAAACATCCTGAATTGTGAGCTTCAGGACCAGACATACGGAATCAGAGGGGGTTTTGCACCATCCAATCCAGGCTTGGAAATTCAGAATAAGCTTGGCTTTTCAGTCCCCCTGTCCCACTCCGAGTTGTTCAGAACCAGACTTTGGATTCGGGGCTGTTTTCCAGCCCTAACAATCTCCTCAGATCTTGACTTCTCCGGCAGGACTGCCAGTAAGGAGAGGATGCAGAGAAGAGGATATTTGAAAAAGCAAACGCTCGCCTTAGATGAACTCAGCAGTGACCCCTGAATTCAACCCCCAAAGGTCAGTAAACAGCCACTGAATGGCAGCGACAAACACTGCTGACAAGTTCGAGGACAAGCCAGGACATAAAGTCCACTCTCACTCCCCAAGCATGCCATACTACTTATGGTCACTGCTATTATTTAGCTGTTTGGACCATGCTTCCCCCCTCCATCGTGCGGTACCAGAGACGGGGTGCTCCGAGACAGCAAAGGTCTGGGATCGTAACAGAGTCCCTAAGCTGTGTTGGTGGCACTTTTTTTTATTATTATTATTATTTTTGTCTGCAAAACCCACTTAAGTAAATAGCAAGTAATTATGGTGTTCTGAAGTGACCTTATGGAGCATGTGCTCGAGTCCATGGACCTCGGCCAAAGCTACTATTGTGGATTTCATGCCAAGGCTTGGGAGAACCCTGGCTCCCTCCCATTGTTTTCTTTGGCCGGGCTCTATGGATTCTCAGCCTGGCAAGAAAGCCCCATTTTAAAAGTACTGGCAAACATCGTGCAGTTTGTCACACCACGGCTTATGATTTAGGACCTTGATTTAGGCTCAACACTGGGCTCTTTTGTTTAGCTGTGTTGGTACATCATTTGCAACTTTGTATTAGTTAATAAACGTCAGTCGGCTAAGAGCGTGGCATGTCCAGTATTGCGGTGAGGATTTTCCCTTGAATATACAATCCGTAGTGGGAATGACTGAGGGAAATTGAAACAGCTCTATCCGTCAGCCGGGGGCTTAAGCTCGTGTAAACAAGGCTTTCTAATACAGTGGATGCCTCAGTGATAAAACGATATTGCTGCATACCTGGGTAAACCCAGAGCTGGAGGATAAGGATTTGCACTTCTCTTTTTTGTTTAATAGAAACTCTTTGTTTATGATTCGACCTCAGAAATACAGGTGAAATTTGAGGGGGTTAAAAAAAAAAAAAGAACAAAACCAAAACAACCCCCCCCACACAAAACCACCTATCTGGCTCCACAAATCCAACTTACAGTTCCCTCAGGCTTTGCTAGTACGTAGTTATAAGCAAAAAATGACTCTGCAAAAAGCAGCCTTTTGGTAAAAACCAGCTCTTGCGCACTTTGTGTATTTTGGAAGCCATATTCAATCATTTTACTGGCTAAGGATAGCAAAAACCAGATGCTGAGATTCAGACTCCTCCAAATCCTCTGTGTATGGGGAGGAGGGGGAAGAGGGCAGGCTTAATATTTAAAATCAAACTAGTGTGAAGGAGAAAAGTGGTCTTTTAGAAATAGAGTCAAATAGCTCTAAATCCCTGTACCTTTGTGACTGGCCCTGCTGAAACTCAAAAGAAAAAAACCAGCCCTCTCTGCTTCTTATTGATTAGAAATGAATAAGCCAGCCAGCTTCCCCCCAAAATAACTGTCACTTTTTTGCTGTCAAACTAATCAAGAATAATAGAACACAATTATTAAATCATGGATACAAATGCAAATGAGCTAGTAAACCAGCTAATTAATGACCGTACTGGATCAAATCACCAGTGACTGAGTTGGCCCATAACAAAGCAGAGATGAAGCTTATACTAGGGTCAGTTCCTACTAATACTGAGCCTAAAAAATCAAGGATGTGGTTGGTGCTACCTCCTGGCCCCTGTAGCCATTACAGATTCCTCTAGGGTCCAAATAGACAAGGAAAGGCTTTATTTCCTCCATCTTTAAGTCCAGTGTACCTACCTTTGATATATAACACTTGGCAATTCCTATTTTCTCACTAGAGAGCTTTTTTGGTAGTATTTTACAGTCTGTGTGATTCGAGGGAGGATTGCTCAGAATTTGGGTTAAGAAGTGACAAATGGTGCCATTCTAATACATAGATCTATACAAAAGGCTATCAATTCCAACTCCTACTGTCTCTTTAACACCTCAAAAGTATAAGTGAAAAACATCAGAAGGAACTGCCTACCAGTGTACTTTCTATATGGACAAAATAGGGAAAAAAGGGAGTAATATTATTTCATGACAAACAAAACAGACACGCATGACACGACACACTCTCCGGAGTCTTATGGCACCAAGGTTTGGTGATGTCACCTCTAGTCTGTATCTCACACCAACAGGTTTCTCTGAGCTCCTGGCTCATCAGGTTGACCCGGCCCAGACATGTTTTTCTCCTTTTATACGCCTTGTCTTGGAAAGCACAGAAGTCATCCTCGCTTTGTGGTGTAACATTGGAATTACGGCAGTATGACCGTATTCTGCTCATACCTAACCGTGGTTGTAACTCCATCTTCCTCCAGTCTCTGGCACTTCTCCAGAGCATTTCTAACCAAACCAGGTTAGCAAAAGCCAACCCTGATCAACACAGAGCAAACTGAATCCCTGAACAGCTTGGAAAGTCCCTCTCTTTGCATTGGTCGGTCTTTCACAATATCTGTCAGAACAGCCACAAGCAATGAAAGGTCCAAAAAGCACGGGATAAACCAGAGCCAACTGCATGAAAGGCATCTCAGCACCCGTCTCTGGTGAGCTGTGGAGGGCTCCCACATGGCTCAGCCTCAACGTATTCATGGACATAACTTATGACCTGATGAGCTGCTGCAGTTTCTGACTCACAGTCTCAAAAATTCTCACGGCTTTTCTGAAAATACACCTTGAGGTTCCTCTGCAACCAACTGGAAGTTGATAAAACAACCACTCTTGGATTAACAGGGTAAAGGGTCAACCTCCAGTCACAGGACCCAATGTCAGACTTGTGCTACAGCTCATTGGTACAAATCCCATTTAAGCTAAAGAAAACTAAAATGTGTGTACACCCAAGCCCACTCTTATGTCTATGTACACTTCGCACCAGCCCCTGTGATTTCTGGTCCCAAGTTCACACCCATACAGGAAAGGGACTATTTTTTGCTTCAGGTGTGACTGAAATCTCACTCAACTCACCATGCTCATGAGAATTCAATGCTGGATCTCACTAAACAGCTGACCTGACTTAAGGCTTGCCATATGAGGCCAAATCCTAACAGAAACCACCTGTGGTATTTCAATAATATTAAATCCAAGCTGAATTCAGCCTTGTACCTGACTCACATCCAGCATCAATTTCCTTGGCCCACTTCTAGTCCCTTGCTGTCAGCACTCCAGGACTGAGAGTCATGGAAGAATAAGCTGCATTCTGTTAAACCTCATGGCCAACGCTGCCAGCTGAAGTGTTATCCCTGCTATCCATACTGGGGATGGTGATGGGGTATAAAACAGAACAGTTTGTTTTCCAGATCTGATGCAAGGTTTCAGTTATTCAGCTTGCAGTTTTGACTACAAGGGGGGTTAGCCAGCTCTGACAACATATGGATGTGGTTCATGGTACTAGCTGTTTCCTATAGGATCTGGAAAGGTCTGAGGCATGACTCTGTCTTACTGCAGCACTTGGAATTGGCTGTGATGCACAGGAGGCGAAGGAATTCCTGGGAAAGGCCGGGGCCTCTCCAGGGATGGTCCCCAGTCCTGGCACTCACTCCCTTTGTAGTACACCAGCTCAAGAGGTTGCAAGGTTTGTTCGTTTAGCCAGCATCTGGCTGGCTGCAAGACATATCGCTCTACTCGCTAGCGACCGAGTAGGAAAGCTCATTTATTGTTATCTCTTTTGGCCATATTTATATAACTATTTCTAATATCTCAGCTGCTCTGTACGGACAGCAACAGACTTTGTGCTACGTTAGCATGTCAAACATATGCACCATGTATCTGTGCAGAGGGGAAACCGTATGAATGGAAGACATGTCAGGTCATTTCAACCACAGTATATAACTGAAGCCCTATCAGGCCATACTGATTATGGAATTTAAACAGTAAACAGCCCACCGATTTGCTCTTTTAAATACATCATTTTTCAGCCCCATCTTCCCCAGATCCTGCAGAAGCTTGCAGATTTATCCTTGAGGCAAAATGACATCTAAGATGCTTTTGCATCTCCAGTCTTCTCTTCTCCTTCCCATACTCTCTCTCCTATGAACCTGAATTGTTCCCAGAGGCCATGCCCACACAACAGGGCAGGCATAGCTCTTCCATGCACCCCACAGCTCAAAAGCCCAGGTGCCCACATGTCCTCCCCAAATATCAAGATAAAACCTCTCTCCGTGGCTTTGTTTCTTTTAGAAAGACACCCAAATGCACAGGGAGGGAAGGAGCTGGGATGAGTTCAAACAGCTTCTCCTGGTTGCAAGACCAGAGGATCAGGGATACAGGGTGCCTCCGCTCACAGCACAGGCCCAGGCAATAGCTCCAGATATTTCCCTTCCACTTGTCAACGCCACAGGGCAAGGGCAGAAGAAGGTCTCCACCGAGAGCCGATACTACTGTCTCCTCAACGGGAAGACAAACGTCCTAGCATGTAGCCCAGTGAGCAGCGCCAGATTCTGGTCCTATTGCTGCCAACACCATGAGGGAAAGGTGATGTCGGTGACCAGAAAATGTGAATTTGGATGTGTGGTGCAGGTTCATCTCACCAATTAAGGTATAAACAAGCAGAAATGCAAACAACATTAGCCAGAATTGTTTATGATATGAACAGTGACCTGGCATCTGCCACTTCATCACCCATTTCTGTTAGAAGAGGTATCCTTGTCTCTGTCTGCCATCAGCACAGAGGAAGTTGCTTCAACTACCTGTATATATGTGCCAAAAAAGATAACTGAAGTTATGCTCACATGTATCAAAACGAGGGAGTGCCACCAGAGGTTCTGAGGACGGGACAGCAACTTCATCCTTGTACAGAAAAGTTTCACTGAAATGAAAATAACAAGAGCAAGAAGGTGAATAGAAGATCAAAGGAGATCATACTGCCTTTTTCCCTCAAGGGCCTGATACCGCAACCAATAAATCAATGTCAAAACTCCCACTGCATTTAGAAAAGAATTTAAATATTTTTGGAAAAAAATATATTTTGTACAAAATGTCATTTATGTGGAAAGAATGTTTGGACAAGAAAATAGTAACTATTATTATTGGCATTATCACAGAAATAAGGCCCCAGTTGTCCTTTCTTAGAAGAGTTAAATTTCTCCTATTATGAAACAGGAAAACAATCTCTGTAAGGAAAAATTTTCCAGCCAATGCCCATCCAAAACTCCAGGTCACCAGCAAATATATCCAAATACACAATAAGGTCACACAAAGAAATACAGAGAACAGCCCTCTTTGTCTAGAATATTAAGTACTGGAACAAATAACAGCAACGTCCTTACGAGTTGTTCACATTTTTCCCAGCATGCTGAGGGTTGCTCCCCCCCCACTGCACTGTATGGATTTGTCTGTCTCATCATCCATCTCCCCTCCATTCCAAGTAAAGCAAGTAGTATGTCTTCTTCTGGAGTGACCTATTAGACTACAGATCTCCGGAGCTTGCAGATACAGCTAGTCCAACTAGAAGCCTTTGTTTTTGTTTGGTTTTTTTAAGTGAAAGAGAACACTTAACAAATAACCCTTCAACTCATTCCTGTCCTCCTCTGTTCTCTGTTTCCTACAACCCTCATGCTACCCAGTCCCATCTCCTTACTGCTTTCATCTTCTCTGCTGTTCCTTGGTCCTTTTTCCCTTGCATTCTTTTTTTGTGCCAGAAGTGACGGTGCTTTCTTTAACTATAAGCCTTATCAAGGAAGCCAACAGTTGACATAGGTCTGACCACAAGTCTGTCATACCAGCCTTTAGAGGGGAAAATACAGGTTTGATCAGTTCAGAGACTAGAGCTCCTTCACCAACCATTCTAGTCAAAACCAGAAAATATGCATCTAGATTATAGTTCACTCAGTTCTTACAGGTACAGTATAAATGTATCTTAACGGTTCCTTAGAATACCCCACTACCTTTCACATCCTTCTCAGCACATTTCTTACCCCAAGATTTTCAACAATGACTACTACAGTTTCTTACCCAACCCTAATCCCATACTTCTCCTTATACTATATAATTATTTCTCATCCTGCAGTACTACCTTGATGTTATTTTTTTAATAAATCACGTTTGGTGTTGGCACGTGTGGGCCCAGTTATGGAGAGTGAAGCTTCAGCCGCTAACACTTACAGGTTTGAGGTAAATTGGATCCTCCCCCAGGGATCAACTTTTTGGAGATATGCACACATGGAAAAGACAGATTTAAAAATAAATAGTGTCTCCAGGTTAGGCCCTTACAGATGGGTGTAGCTCTCAATACTGCAAGCCTTCTTTTTGCAATAGTAATTTTAGCCAGAGGGCTCCTAATAGCTTCATAGGCTTTTAGCAAATGTTTTATAGTTTAATGACTGTTGTGGCAAGATAAGCAAAAAAAAAAAAAGAGGAACTCAAAAAGTTTGTGTGCACAGAATTTCTTAGTTGTACTTCTCTAATCCTCCAATAAGTGGTATAAAGGAGAGTCAGAACCTATTGAACCAAGGTCTGTTTGCTCAGTCCAAACATTATTAATGATGTGAGCTCCAAAGAATTTGTTCTTTTCTCTCTTCTCTTAGATTCTGCATTTTGGACAACTTTTCAACAAAAAGATCAAGCACTATCTCCTTTCAAAGTGCCTCTAATTGGGTTATTACTGGGAGCATAAAATACACACATTTATTGTTATTGGACCTACCATAGGCTGAGGCTAGCCAATGCTCACTTCCACTGGCAGCAGATAGTTATTTTGCCCCATTCAAATCTTTTTTATGTAAAGGAGTAAGATGCCTCCAGTGTCCATCAGGATGGAGTTACACGACTGACCCCTTCTTGAACAAACTTTGCAAACCACGAGCATCCACATCTGAGCAGAAACCGAGATTAAATACAGTTGTTTGCAGAACTTTTTCCTGCAGAATTTCTCAAAGTTCTTGTCCAAAAAAATCTCCCTCCCATCCCACAGGCATCCTGTACTGGGTCAATAGCTCACCGCCCGGCCATATCTCAATCCACGCCAGGGACAGAAGGAACTTTGTTCCATTAGCAGCTCCTGTAAGCCAGAACTCCTATTGCTGCAGTGGCTCCCCGGCAGTGACCACAAGCCGCCCCGTATAGCCCTGCCCAAACCAGCCATTTCTGGGGGTCGTTCCTCTAAATCTGAGCGGCTCTCCAGGGTCTTCATTTACGTGTCTTAGTCAAGTGAGATTATCCAGCCCTTGGTACCAGGGTAACAAAGTGCTCTTCTCAGAGCTGCCCAGCATCAGCCCACGATGGTGAGGGTCTCTGCCACTGCCTGGGGGACAGGTTTGGAGACAGAACTGGGCAAAATCCCTCGGCTGAAGGAAAACAAAACAGGCAGTGGTAGCTTGGCTGGATGTATACGGGGGGGGGAGGAGGCGGCAGGGATAAAAAAATTTAGATTTTCTAAATCAGTCATATTGGTAATTTTCAAAAATTACGTCACTGTGTTTTTGAAACATTCTAAAGTTCGAACAAAGTACATCTGAGTTAAAAAACATCTTTTGTTTGACCTGAAGTGAAGTCATTTCAATTCTGTAGTTAGTTTGGGGTTTTTTTTATCCTGCCCGCTTAACTCAAAATCAAGACCTTTTTCTTCTGAATTTTCAGATCAGCTAAGCAAAATCTGAAAAATTTATTAGTAGCACAAGTCTAGTTGTGAATTATCTGAGATCCCTGCATGAAAGACTCTCTCAATTATTTGGACATTTTATTTTCACCTAGAGATTCTGTACGCAAAGGAAGGGAAAGCTGGGATTTACAGTTCATTCATGTCCCTAGAAAACAACCTAGAGCTGTGAAAGCAAGTGTTCTCAGGTTATTTCTTCCTATTATATAGTCACCATTAACTCAGATTGTATTGTCAACTTCTGCTTGGGCTTAGCTTCAAGACTAATATTAAACTGTGCTGCTGCATAATTCTGTGGCTGTTTCCTTAGCCATAATGCAGGCTAATAGGTCAACCTTGGCTTTTGGTAAGTCATAAAATGGAAAAAACTCAGTTATAGGAGCTTTAGAATTCTTACTAGACAGCACGCAGTAATTCTTGTTCCTGAGTCATACTGCAAAAGCTTTTTATAATATCTTGCGTTTGCTCTCAGAGCAAATGATTACACTTCTGTGCTCTTCCTCAGCCATCCAAAAAGATATTTGAGATTCTCTGTGCAGTGAGGGATGAATGTGCTGCAGGGAACACTCTCTCAGGCAGCATGCGCTGTGGCTGCATATCCTGAAGTGCAGGAGCACTATTTGCATCAACATGTGCTGTGTCCAGGGCAGGAATGCCATTACGTGCTTCATTCACTGTGGATGTAGGAATATATTTTGTTACCTTTTAGGGTACATATACGATTGACATCAGGGATATGTTTCAAAAAGCATCCGCAGAGCTTCCGTGTTCACAGCACAGGCTGCCAGGGCAAGCAGAAGCAACTGTTGTAGCTGACCATTGAAGAGGACCTGTCAAAGCAATCTCACTCACAGATACATCCAAAATGTACCATGCTGTTACTAGTAAAGATTCAGTTTAAATGTGACCCAGCTCATAACCGGAAGAACTTGCCTTCCTATGGCATCTGGCTGGTACTAAAGTGATCCAGGGATGTCAAGTCTGACATGACTGCAGAAAGAGCCCACCTAACAGTGTTTGCACTGTAGATTGTTGATACAGGAACTCAAAGCACACTGCACGTACTACATCTTTCTATAGTACGCAAGGCAAAAAAGCATCACAGACTTTTCCAGTCATTTTATGTTCAGAGACCTAAAATCGAAGCTAGATCTCACAACTCCTGGTCCTTTATGATAGCCTCAAGAACATCTGCCCCAGACATTTCACCTCACCGGACACTTCTACACCAGAAATCTGACACAGCAACTGAATAGCACCTTCCCATAGCTTTCCAAAAGCAACTAGGTGTAGACCTTAATTATTAGGAGCAGAGAACAGACCTTTTCTTGAGTCATTTTCTGTCCCCTTTCAATATGAATTGAGAAGATGAATTATTTTCAGAGAGAATATAAAAAAGACTTAGCAGAAAGCCAGACCCTTACATGCTAGCAAGACTGGTAAAACACATCCTGTTGCTTTGGAAGGCATCAGCACGATGCTGCTCATTCAGCCTTTTCCTGGTGACCGCTCTAGAAAAGAAGGAGTCACACAAAGGCAGGGAGATTCACTGCTCCCCATGGTGCACATCACACAACAAGTCTGGCAATCACCTGTCCTGAGGAGGAAGAATCAAAGCAATGTCTTGCAGAGAAGGATGATCCAATGTTGCACATATTGAGCACTATCCAAATTCCAGACATGTCCGTGCTCCCTGTTATCCTGCTGTTCGTGAACATTCACTCTAACGGGTGTTTCACAGGGTAATTGCCATCCTTCTTACCAGTAACTTGATCTGCGGGTGAGGAAGGGAGCCGATAGTTGAACCAGATTCCCCATTATTCAGTATTTCCTATTCTCCCACTAAAAAAAAAAAAAAAAAAAAA